TTTATTTACAAAACTGCCACCGCGCACCATTATGCTGCGGTTTTCGTTGAACCGTGGCATAATGTGCGCTGTAAAAACCCGATTTTTTACTAGTGCATCCAGACACTAGTACAAAAATAGTGTATTAAGTCGGTTATTTTTTGCTTTTAACGACGTATTCGAGACTGACGTCATAACGGGTGACGTAAATTTTACGTCGAATATCACTAGGCGACGTTAATAGGACAATTTGACGTCGAGTGGATCAAGAATTGACGTATGTCTAACGTCGATTTTGTGCAACGACATGAGGTTACGTCCATTAGTAAAGAGAATGACGTCCAATATTTGAATAAATATTTATATTTATAGTAAGATTTGTCGTCTTATGTACGAGGGAAGTGACGTAAAGTTAACATCGTTATGGATGATAACGGACGTAATGTTCATGTCGAAGTTTAAAGAGGACGTCAATTTTTGAGTAATATTTGAATAAAAATGTATATTTAAAGGAGTCTAAAACTATACCTACTAAGGTAGCATTTATGGTGTTCCAGTCGTCTAAAACTCACTTGAAAGGCTCACTTTATAATTTGTTTTGGAGTAACAAGCAACAAAAGGTAAAGCTTGAAGCTTATACTAGTTTTAGGCATTATTTTGAGTTTATTTGAGCTTCCATATCTTGGAACATTTTGTGTTTTGAGTTAATTCTTGTTATTTGGCTATGTAACTTGGGAAAATGCTCTTGAAGCAATTTCAAGTTCACATTTGAACATTGAAATAGCTTAATTTCGTACATTAGTGTGAAACTGTGTCAAGAAGCTCCAAGTGTCACTTGCACTTTCACTTAGGGTCGTCTAGCATTTACATTTTGCATCTATATTGCTTGAATGATCTGTGTTTTAAGTCTCCGTGATATATAGGTTATCATAACATTTAGTTAAACCTTCTTTTGGTTTTAGGAGCATTTCATTTTGCATTTGAATTTTTTTTTGAAAGATTTCTATCTAAAAGCTTAGGTAAAGACAATCTAAGAAAACTCTTGCTAGGAAAGACTTGGTTTTTAAGCTCGACCATTTGTGACTCACCTCTCCTTTTTAGGAGCTACTTACAGCGAACCACAGAAAAAATAAAATTAATCCAAGATCGGACGAAAGCAACTCAAAGTAGACAAAAGTCATATGCCGACAAAAGAAGAAGACCGTTAGAATTTGAAGAAGGAGATCATGTATTCTTACGAGTAACACCAACTACAGGAGTCGGGAGAGCTATCAAGATGAGGAAACTGACACCAAAATTTCTCGGACCATATCAAATTCTCAAAAAGATTGGGCCAGTAGCTTATGAGATAGCATTACCACCTGGATTGGCAAATTTGCATAACATTTTTCATGTATCCCAACTGAGGAAGTATATTCCAGATCCAAAGCATGTGTTGGAAGTTGATGAAATTCAGGCCAGGGAGAACTTAACAATGAAGGTTGGACCAGTACGTATACTAGATGTTCAAATGAAAAAGCTAAGAGGAAAGGATATTCGCACGGTAAAGGTACTTTGGAATGAAGACACACAGGAAATGACTTGGGAATTAGAAGAATTTATGATAAAAGAATATCCATATCTCTTATGTTAAATAGTCTTTTGTTAAATAGATAATTTTCGAGGGCAAAAATTTTTGTTGTTGGGGAGATTGTAAGACCCTTGAAAATATTTGTAATTCAGATACTAGATTAAAAAAAATAGTAAAAAGTGAATAGTAAAATGTGAATAGTAAAAAGTGAATAGTAAAAAGTAAATAAAAAAAATAATTTGTGGAAGGGATAAGTATTTCACGTTGTCTTGAGTCATAAGAGATCAGAATTTATCAAATTGTGAATAAAAAATTATTTTTGTAATAGTAAAATGAATAGTAAAAATGAATAGTAAAATATTTTTTTGCTATAAATAGCCAAGGGGGGAAGGCTGAAAATTTACACCAAAAACTTAGAAAAATTTTGAGAGAAGAGAGTTGGAAGAATTTCTAGTTGCAAAGGGGACATTCTGGAAGTTTTCGGGGAACGAGGAGATTAAGTCTGTAATAGAGGTAAGGGAAGCCACTCTTGAATCTTGAGTATACAATACTTTGCTTTTGTCTAATCCTAAATCTTGAATATGGAGCATTTTGTTTCTGGATGGTCTTGAATTTTGAATGAGAACATGCTTCTGTGATGAGACCCAAGTTTGATGGTTGTAAAATGTGATGTTGATTCTGTTATGCTAATTGTACGTTATTATTACTTAGAACATTTAGTTATTTCTTTTGCAATTTTGGAAGGATGAGAAGTTGTCTAACCGGCTTTGCCAGATTCAACTTCTTGTTTCCCCAGACCTTTTATTGTTTCTTATCTCTTTATATTGTATTTTTGGAAGGACGAGAAGTTGTCTAACCGGCTCTGACAGATTCAACTTCTTATTTCCCTAGACCTTTTATTTCTTATTTATTTATATTGTATTTTTGGAAGGATGAGAAGTTGTCTAACCGGCTCTGCCAGATTCAACTTCTTGTTTCCCCAGAAATTTTATTGTTTTATCTATTTTTTTATTGCATCTTTCTGGAAGGATGGGAAGTTGTCTAAC